CCCCTGAGCATCCCCCCTTGGAAGCTCTTCGGGGGCTCTTTCATCTCCAGAGTGATGAAGACGACGAGCAGTTCCCGATGCAGGAAGGGGGTGGTTACGAGCTCCGGCGGCAGATCACCGCATCGCGCAGAGGCCAGAATCTGGCCGACTCGGCTAATGCGGCGCGTCAGGCTCGGCTGCTCGCCAGCGCACGTTTCGAGACCGACCCCGACATCTCCCTTTCCTCTCCGGAGGTCCCGCCGGACATGGCCACCACCGGCCAGTATGGAATTGATCCTGCCAGCCTCTCACGTCTGGACGACTCGCGGATTTCTGACATCGACGCGGAGGGAGAGGAAGACGTGACGCCAGGCCCCCAACTATCAACTGACTATCCACGGCCCTCCCTTTATATCCAGCCAGCTCTGGGCTCGGGCCATCAGCAGACATTCGCCGAACATTGGGACGATGACGAGTGAGTGGCGAAAACTTCTCGATCCTCCCTGACGTGTTTACTGATGACAATACAGTGGTTATGGCAACGAAACCGGGCCCTCGCTTCTCAGTCCACATACCGCCACTTCTACGATGAATGCTGGTGACACTGCCGCACCCCCCGCCGCACCCCCCGCCGCACCCCCCGCCGCACCCCCCGCCGCACCCCCCGCCGCCGACCCCGTCACCAATACCGCCACTTCTCTGATGGATGCTGACGACAATGTCGCACTCCCTGTCTCACCCCCCGCCGCAACCCCCGCCGCAGACGCCGTCACCGCTGGTTCCCGCGAAAATTCCCCTGACATCCCGGCTGAGGATGTGGAACAGATGCGGATCTTGAAGGAACGTTCGAAAGAGCAACGCAAACTCGTATCGGAAACCGCAGAGGCGATCGGCCTCCTCATCGTGAAAACCGCGAAGCTGACCGGCTGGAGCGAGGCCAAAGTCGAAGCCAAGTTGCACGAGCAATACCCGAGGCTGTTCCGCGCTCGGAACTACTATTGGAACGTGTACCAGCGCTACGCGAACAATCCCCGCTATCGAGGCCGCGAGTGGCAACGGGGCACTGGTGGTGATCTCAGCCAGTTCCCAGGCCAGCTCCCACCGCGCCAACGATCTCCAGAGCTCTCCAACTCGTGGTTGAAGTTCCAGAAGCGTTACGGCTCCACTGGGCTGGAGGAGATTCTCGACACCTTCGTCGAGTGGGAGCAAATGACGGAGTTGCAGACGCTGGGAAACCGGCAAAAACTTTTTGATGGATGGCTGGGCAAAATGAAGGCCCTGGTGAGCACCTTACCATCCAGCTTACCATCCCTTCTAATCCAATTCAGATCAAGCGTGGCGAGACCAGTGGCAACTTCCAAGTGCTCATGATTGCACTCGGAGGCGTTGCATCGCATGACAGCCGCCTTGCGTCCCTTGTTGCAAGTGAGGGATTATCTCAGTTCATGTCCACTCTGTACCATGGGGAGCTGAGCGACGAAGAACTGCTCAGTCGAGCTCAGCATCACGTTGCGTGAGTCTCTCCTTTACCCATGTGGATGGAACAGTTTATTGACTTATCTTCATTCCAGTGGCTTGATGATCCACGACGCAGATCAGGCACGCGACGCTCTGCTCGAAGGCGAAGACGGTCCAGATGCCACCGGGGCGGACGACCCCACCTCAAGCCCTGCACGTGCTCCCACCATCACCCCCGTTCGCACCCCCGTCCGTGCCCCCGCTCGCACCCCCGCCCGCGCCCCCGCCGACACCCCCACCCGTGCCTCTGCGCGCACCACTGTTCCCTCGTCTCCTGCTGACTCCCTGGCTCAGTTGCGGGCACGGGCTCCCCCACGTCACCCCCTTCAGCCGCTGGAGACGGCTCCGATGTCGCAGCGGGAGGTTGAGGAGGGCATCCAGAACATCTTGGATGCTTTGGACGGTCCTTCCACCTTGCGCTCAAAACGGACGATGAAGGTGAACCGCTTGTGGGACAACCTCCTTGACGACCTGAGCGCGTTGTCAATGGCTCAAGTCGGGAGCGAACCGCTTGGTACGTTGACAAGCATGAGCCAAAGGACGTTCCCATGGAAGACCGCCGGTCCGGCGCTTTTCAAGGCAGGGTACATGGTCCTCGGATGGCCCCATCTTCTTCCCCTTCCGACGAAGCTCGGACACGCAGACAAGGGCATTCGCTCGTTGCCGGCATCGCAACAGAGCTCACTGGCGGCCGCCATCAAGTTCTCCCTGAACGAGGTCTTCGAGGGGCGCGAGCCAGCGGGTATTTCCTTTTTTGGCAACGACTGCCGCGATCCCCGTGAGCGCTTCCTGATAAACACCTTTTGGCACGAATTGACCTTCATTCCAGGAATGCCCGTGCTCGCTGCGTTCCCCCAGCGCGTTGGAACAACCATTGCTTTCAGTGGTTCCGAGTTCGTCCTCGGGGTGACTGGACAGGGGGACCCGTGCTACTTCAGGCTGAACCTCTTGGACCCAGACCCAACGCGACGATACTTGGACTTCAGCATCGTGGTGAAGAACGAAGCTGGGGACTACGCTCTTCCTGTGGTCTCCCAACCGGCTTTGCATGCACCTGGGGCTGCTCCTGTCGTATTGAGCTCACCAACGCGCAAGCGCCGTGGTCACCTCCCCGCCGCACCCCCCGCCGCAACCCCCGCCGCACCCCTCGCTGCACCCCTTGCTGCACCCCCCGCCGCGCCCCCCGCCGCGCCCCCCGCCGCACCTCCCGTCACTGACGCAGCGTCGTCTCCCATGCCGCAGCCTGCCTTACCCCCGCCTGCTGTCAACAAGGCCAGTGGGAAGAAGCGCAAGGCTGATCCCGTGGACATTCCCGCTCCCCGTCGCAATCCGAAGCGTGCCAAGGCCAGCACTGCTGCCCCACCTCAACCGTCGCACCAAGTTGGTGGAGGCAAGCAGCGTCAGGAGTCGACACCGGCCTCGGAATACGTCCCAACTGCGTCTGCTCTCTCGGAGACATCGGATGCTCAAAAGGAAGGTCCTGCCGGTCAGTACCTCGCTACCCTATATGGACATGACAATCTTCCCCTCGGCTTCATTCTCCCCAAAGAGAAGCGCAGATCTAAATCATTTCCAGTAGTTCTGACGCGCAAGCTGCCGCGACAGAACAAGCGTCGCTATCAAGAGATGAACGCGCCGTCCCCCGAGCTCTCTTCCCCTGAGAGTGAGGAGGAAGTGGCAAAGACACCCCCACAGAAACGCCCTCGCCCCCGCCCTCGCCCCCGCCAAGTCAATGCAGTTGCCAGCAGCTCACAGCAAACGCTGGACGATCCCCCTGCTGCGCGGGCGCCTCGCGCTGCCACCAAGAAGCAAGGGGCTGTTGTTTCAGCTCAAGCTCCGACGTTGGTGTCACAGTTGACGCCAGCCAACGTAGGAACGGCGGCACCCTCTTCAGCACCCCCCGCGGCACCCCCCGCGGCACCCCCCGTCGACACCTCCGCCGATACCCCCGCGGCCACTGCTGCTGCACCCACAGCGTCGACTTCCACGGCAGCGACTGGATCGACCGAGACTGCCGCCGCTGCTCAAGTGACTGATCCCGCCACCGCTCTGCTTAGCTTTTTCTCTGCCCCGTCCTTCCAAGCAATGATGGCAGGTGCTATTCGCAGCGCAGTCCAGGAGGAGCTCGCGAAAAAATGAAGGTGTTACGTTCAATTTTGCATGTCCTTTCTTGATCGTGGGGTTTATCTGCATACATTCATCCGTATATTAGTTTCGACATATTTTTTTACAACGTCCTGTTGTACATCTTTCATACACGACATCGATCTGCCCCCCCCCCCTCTTCTGGCTATGGAATTTTAAGGGATGGATTTTCAGAAGCTGAGTTGCACCATTACATGGTCAGGTAATGAATGCTTGAATAGTAGTGCCTTCTGACCCCACCCAAAAACATACTGTTCATGCTTCCACACCTCCCTCAACATTCATCGAACTTGAGGGGCCTTTAATTCTCTCAAATGTCAATCAGCAGTATTCAGTGCACGGAGTTCAATCATGCAAGCTTTCACTGACCCCTACCAGTCCCTGACAGTGAACAGTTTCATTGGGAGCTCTCATTCCAGACCGAAGTGGTGTAACGCTGTTTGTCAAAGAAAATTTCCATAACCGTCCTCTTCACGCTTCTAGAGCAAGCCAGGCCAGCAGATTACTAGGAGCAGCCCAGCGCTTACCCCCGCACGCACCCCCGCGCGCACCCCCGCACGCACCCCCGCACGCACCCCCGCGTGCACCCCACAACAACAACAGATTGTGTACAACACCAAACTCATAGTCAAGGGCGATTTAGGACAAGTTGAATGGTCTAAAATTTTGGGATTCCATGATACAGAGCCCTGAATCATGTGGAAATACCACTAGGATTATTTTACCCTGGTTATTTGAATTTCTTTCTGTGATCAACATCATAATCCCCGGCGTGAGGCAGAGTTACACAGTGCAGAGCTTCTCAGGGAGCAGAGTAGTACACTCTGTAAAAGCTGTTGTTTTTCCTCAAAAAGGCGGCTACAATGCAACGAATACCACGAGTGGTTAAACATGGAACTGATCAACCGCACGGGTGACCCCGCAAAATGATGGGAACATTCCCATCATTACCGCAGTGCGGCGGGCATTTTGCGCTCAGCGCTTCACTTTCTTAATTATCGAAGCTAGACACAATTGGGATAGCATCGGAATTTTTTCCGGCAGCCATTTGGTTTTTTTTTGCGCCCAGTCACGTGACCGTTTTGGCCGCCATCCGCTGCATTGTGCGCCATCGTGGAGAGCATGCAAAAACCCGACCAAATGGTGGCAAAATGGCCGGGATGAAGTCACGTGAATATGCGCCCGCCACCCGCCGTGGCATGCGGGAGGTCGGTAATGACCCCGCCCGCACCCCCGCCAGCCCCCGCCAGCGTTTTAAAATTTTTGGTTCCATCTGTCACGTGCTTTTTTCGCCCGCCATCCCGCCCGCTCGGTGCTTCCACGTGATTGATTTTTTTTTCCCGCCCAGCTACCCGCTCTTACAGATGTAGACAAGTCACATGTATATATTTTCGTTCACCCCCCCCTGCTGACCCCCGCATATGCCCCCGCCCCCAAATGGACCAAATCCCCCCCGCGGGCCCCGCAGGGGGGTACCTTTTAGGTACCCTCAGAGCTACGTCTGAGGGTACCCAGGAGGACCCCCGCGGGGGTGCAACCGGGTGATGGCGGTGGTAACTGAGGTGGGTGGTGGTCTGATCAGTTGTGGCAGCGTTTGCAGTGGTGACTTTCTTCAAGTTCGTTCGGGCCTTGAGCTTCTTCATGGCGTTCTGGCGGCCGTAGCAGTCGGCTTCGACATGGCCTTCACGGTCGCAGAATACGCACTGGAGCAGCTGGGCAGATGGACGAGCAAGTGCCGGAGTGTACGGAGTGGAGAGAGATGAGATCGAAGAAGCTCGCATCGCAGACGCGGTGGTCGTGACGCCGCCATTGATGACGGGTCTGTTGTCCTCAGTGTAGAACGATGTGCGGACAGCGTCGAGGGTTAGATTCGTGGTATTGTTCTGAAGCAGATGCGTTGCCACAGTCTCGTGCGAAGCAGAGATCCCGCGGATGGCTGCGATGCATTGCAGTTCTTCGCAGAGCTGGTTGAGAGAGAGTGTGGGAGGAAGGAGCTCGCGCCATTGACCGCCGATGTTGGTGATGCGTGCCAAAAACTTCATGAGCGGTTCGTCGTCCTCGCGGACAATGCCCAGGAGGTTGATGAGGGTGGCAAACCTCGGAGCGGCCGTCTGTGCCGCGTGAAGCGCCTCGAGCGCATCCCATATCCATTCTGGGTCGTTCCGGAAGGCCTTGACGTGCTCCTGCTGATCCGGCTCGATGCAGAGCCATAGCATCCCAGCAGCCTCGTCCCTCGTATCCTCCCACTCGTCATGCTCCGCCATCTTGGCTTTTGTGGGGTTGTCCGGATCGAGGAACTCCGGCTCTATCATGCGACCTTGAATTGCACGCCACAGGTGATGCATTTTGGCGGCTGCTTCGACGTTGAGCTTCCACGAGCTGTGGTTGCTGGGCGAACTTCGAAGATTCTCCCATGTCTTCTTGGAATGGTCGAACGGGGCCATGATGTGTGTGTAGTGAGTTTTCCGGTGACTTCGGATTGATAGAAATACAGGTTGATTTTGAGTTCTTCAAGCTACGGGGCCCATAACCTGGTGAAGGTGGAAGCCGAAAAAACTATATCTTGTTTACTAGCTAGTTGTAACGGTCAGAGTACACACAATACGGCATACATACAGTAGGCGCGTGATCAATCTGATTTGATATCAGCAACAGTGTCCATGTCGCCTTCCTCAACAGAATTCGGTGCCACATTCATGGCCAAAGGATTTTTCAGCGTGAGTCCTTCAACATTTGTCGGCCGATGAATGGCTCAATTGCGATATCACTCCAGGAGAACGAGCTGCACATCATAGACGTCAAAGCGGTGGCTCATATTCTCAGCCGCGGGGGAAGCTATCAGAGAACGCACCTCAGTTACCACCGCCATCACGCGGTTCTCCCCCCGCGGTGATAGGCTGGCTACCAGACGCGCTCTGCACCAGCTCTGTAAGGGCGTATTTTTGCGCTTTTTACAGAGTTTACTCTTGAACCACTCGGTGTATCGTGTCGCGGTTAACAGTGTTGCGCTCAGTAGGACTTATGGGTCTACTGCCCAGTCGACGACTGTGGATAGTGTCGACGATAGCAAGGCAGTCAGACCACTACTGTGGAACTGGTCTTATGAGTCTACACCAGGCTCAGGGCCATTAGTGACGAACGCTTGGACCGCGACCATTCCCCAAAAAGGGATATGTCGTTGCGTCGACTTCTCAAAAAGGGTCATTCTCTGCAGATGGGAACTTGGGCTGAAGGGCTGAGCAATGCGCGACGTTCTCAATAATAGAACTACTACTGGACAGGACTTGGCGTTACAAGACTTAAACCATCTTGTCGCGGCAACTCCCGGTTTTGAGTTGGACGTTTCCTCAGATCATGCCACGACGACGACTTGTCACATGTCAGGATCCATTCGATCACGGGACATTGTGGACGCGTCGCGGTGACACTTCCAAGTGTCACGGCGAGTCGCGCCCATACTCAAACACACTAAAATCGATACGGCTAGATCCGTGAACCGAGCCATGTGGGAGACGATTGGCGTGCCTAGAGCCATACGGCTTCTTGGGGCGCCCACGTTGGTCTCACATGCCAAGACATACCCGTTGGCCAATCCAGCACGTCGTATTCTAAAAGTATGACGCGGTGAGTTGGCCCACATCAAAAGTATCATATGGACAATGGGGCGGGGTCCTGATCACTCAGGACCTGTCCGATCGTTCAACTTTTCAATTACCCTAAAAGGCAACCGATCTTAGATAGCGTAGCTACTATGCAGTTGTACAGGACTTTACTAAGCAGCGTCGTAGACAGTATAAGTAGCACGTCGTCTCTTTGTATTAGGAAGCTTTCCCCCGGACTGTGAATCACTATCATTTCAGATTGTTTTGTACAATTTGCGTGCCGTGTGATTCCACCCTAAGAAGTTCTGCTACCCCTGCCCGGTCGCGACGAGTTGCTCCCTGAGCACTTGTAGCTACTGTGATTTGAGTTTGAGTTGAGACATCAGAAAGTCGGATTCGCCACATCTGGTTTAGTCGCGGCATTTAGTGTCGTCGCCTTCGGGCTTTGTTGAGATCGTTCCACACCTCTAGCTTGGCAGTGCGTCGACTAGTTGTGCTCGGGTTGTTTTGGTCAGTTGGCAGTGCGTCGACTTGAGAACTTTGGTTCCACACTTCTTGCTTGGCAGTGCGTCGACAAGTTGTGCTCGGGTTTTGGACATTGGATATTGGCTGTTAGTTGGCAGTGCGTCGACGCGGCATTTTGGTTTACTAGTTGGCAGTGCGTCGACTCAGTACTTTTGGTTGTGTCAGTTGGCAGTGCGTCGACTTGACATTCTGGTTCTACTAGTTGGCAGTGCGTCGACTCAGTATATTGGTTGTATCGGTTGGCAGTGCGTCGACTTGATATTTGGGCTTTGCGTCACCATCTAGACGCTGTCGCTACAAGGGATCTTAATACTTCACATTAAGTTCTGACTTGTTATATTGTTTGTTTGTGGATTGGATTAGTGTTGGTTGTGTTCGTATAGAAGATATTGGTTGAGATACCATTGTTTGCTATATATAAATTCTTGTCGTCGAATTCGCCTCCGCGACTATTGGACCTGTGTCTATTGAGAGTTGTGATACTGGTGCTCTGTCCACCCCGAAGCCCTCGCATCTTTCACACACTGAGAAGCTGATTACCAGGAGTGTGAACGTGTTTTATATTTGGGTTTACTTTCATAGTAGATTCACTTGTGAGCACGCCCTCAGCATTTCAGCGGGGTACCTACTGGGTACCCTCAGACGTCTTGCTGAGGGTACCCAGTAGGTACCCCCTGGCGGGGGGTGGGGGGGCCATTTAGTCGATTTAGTAGCGGGGGCATATGCGGGGGTCAGGAGGAGGGGGGGTGTATGTAGCATGTGACTTGTCCATAAGAGCGGGTAGCTGGGCGGGAAAAAAAAATCCAATCACATGACGCGCTGCATGGGCGGGATGGCGGGATAAAAAATCACGTGATGCGCTGCACCAAATATTACCAAAATGCTGGCAGGGGTTGGCGGCGTCATTGGCGGGGTCACTACCACCCCCCCGCACACCATGGCGGGCAGTGGGCGCATTATCACGTGACTTTTTGGGCGCCTTTTTTGCAGCATTTGGCATGATTTTGGAAATGCTGCTTGATACATTGCATGCTGTGGCAGACAATGGGCGCAAAATCACGTGATTTTCCGCCAAAAAAATGGAAGACTCCCCAAATCATCCCAGTATAATTTCCATAGGTAAATAGGCTAGTTAAACATGAACTTGAGCTTAGAAAAACCAAAATGCACCCTGCACAATGGGATTGGTGACACACTTGATCCCATCATTTGGCAGGGCCTGCCGCAGGGGCTGCCGCGGGGGGTGCCGCGGGGGGTGCCGCGGGGGGTGCCGCAGGGGGTGCCGCGGGGGGTGATGCGGGGGCTGCCCCAGGGTTGGTCTGTTATGATCCATTTTTGTTCATTGAAGATCTTGTAGAGGTGAGCAGGGCAACAGGCCAACTGGGAATTTATAGGAAGACATTGAAATTGATGCAGGGGTCAGATGCGGGGCCCACTGCAAGGTCTACTGCAGGGGCAGGGGTGCATTATATCAAATTTCGATGTATCTATTCTGGCCATGGCCATAGAATGTCACATAATTATCCTTCAATTTGGCAGGGGTTTCTTGGTATGGTCTGCAGCTAAAGATATTTGATTCCCTTGTGCTTTAGCAGAGCCTGGGATATTGAAAACATGCAATAGCACCTGTATAATCTGTTTATGTAGGGTCAAATACAAGTTATGATTTGTTCATGTGTTGACCGGCAGGGTGGGTAGGTTGGCTGCACTGGGTCCACTGTCATCTCATTGATTTTTTGGTGCGCTCATTCTACATACATGGCTATTAGTCAATTGTTCACACTGTTAGCACAGTGTAATCTTACCCTGCGGCACATTGTACCACATGTCAAGTACACATTGAATGTCTCACTTCCTGACTGGGACTCATTGAAAATCAGAAGTTCTGTGATGCTTTGCAAATGATTTTCTCAAGCTGCAACATGAACAGATGGAACATAGCGGATTTGACATGCCCTCAATTCATTCCTGGGTCGTATATAAGAGGATGAACTAACTCACTAATAAGTTGTCTCACAATAGCCAGAGATTGAGCATGAATTCAGATTTCATATACAAAATTCTTTCCACTTAGAGCTTGGATACTTGCAAGACAAACTGCAGAAACATACATGATTGCTTTTGCTACTGGGACTGTATACGTTCTTGCCATAACTCACTGCCTGCAACTCTACCTGCACCCCCACTGGCACCCCTGCAGGCACCCCCCGCCAAACTGGCACCCCCCACTGCACCCCCGCATGCACCCCCGCCAGGCTGACACCCCCTGCCACACCCCCCGCTGCACCGGTGCCTTGCCCCTGCCATCTTCTCATATGTAAGATTACATAATCTGACAGCTCGGAACACGTCAAGTCACCAGCCAATCAGAACCTGTATAAACGTCGTACCTAAGTGTTTCCTGCTCTTCTGACACTGTTTCTACAGTTATGCAGCTGAAAACCATTGGAATAAGGTCTCCCTATGCTGTTCTTGTTGAATATGTAGGTATTTCATATCATTTGTCCATCCAAAATTCGAAACATGAAAACAGTTCACAGTTGCTCAAGGTTCCTACATAGATAATGGTTCAACATAGTTCACTTTGGGTATTGCAAAAAATATATTTTCTACAAATGAACAACTCAATACAGCTGAATGATATACCCCTTGGCAGTGTCTGAAACAAATTCTGAGAGCCCTGGACCCTGGAACCATTCAAAAACTTGAAATGGGTCCGAAAAATAGGGTCTTGATAAACATGAGATAGGGGCCAGTTTGAAGAGATGTAAGCCACTGGTCATGTTCAATGTGGTATTTGACAATGTTTCGGTGCCCTGCCCCTCACCAAATGGCCTCCTTTCCCACCAAAAAGTGCACATACACACTCAAGCTTATAAAATCAATTGTCGGCCAGAAACAAGAGCAGGCAAGTTGTGTCACTGGAATTGGGTAAAGGTAACCTGGAAGTCACTCGGGTTGCAGTACAGAAGCTTTGGAAAGTGATCCTGTAGTTGATCCACATTGGGTAGGCTGGCAGAGGCTTGGGCACCCCCCGCGGCACCCCCCGCAGCAGCCCCCGCGGCAGCCCCCACCATCAACCCTGCCCCAGCCCCTGCAAGGATTGGATGGACAAAAGTGCTGCCTAATCAATTGTTAGTGTTCACAGTATTATCACATCCATTAAAGTGTCTAAATGGTGTGTAGACAAGGAATATGAAATCCATCAATCAACAATCCTAACACCTGTATCAGATATCCTGAAAATGGAGAGGAAGATTTGGGAGCAGACAGACTATTGGAAGCAAACAGACAGGGACAAGGAGCAGTAGCTATTC